ATCTAGGAAATCACACAGGTACTTAAAACATACATCATCTTGACTTATCCACAGCCACACTGAAAGGTAGTACCTATTTCAAGTCCTAACCTCTGAAAGTAGCAGGGAGAAAAGAACTTCAGCTTTCAAGCACAAGTATACTGAAAAAGTAAACACAATAACAAGTGTGTAATAAATGTGACCTTTATTGATCCGGTATTTGGACAGATTCACACCATGTGCCCCCAATTGATTTCAGGAGTGCTTGCTTGCAAGAGAGTGCTTAGAGCTGAGTAGATAGTGTACTGTAAGAGCACTAACAAAGATGTACAAACAAGAAAATTGTACAATGCATGCCTAAAGCTTATTTTCTTAGAATCGGGCCTTTTCGGTCTGTAAGCACACACCTTGTAACTGTTCCTTAAGCATACATGGTCCCTGCATACTCAGCAGACCGGTCATGACCTGCGACGAGAAATTCTAGCTGTAGTAACTTAAGTCCAACAATAAATGTAGCAAGCCTGAAATATTTTTCAGGCCCATCACCTAAATACATATTACCAGAGTCCTTCAATGCTTTTCTGGTCACGAAACTCCGCCCGAAGGTTGCTATAGGGACAAAATCTGTCGCTAGAGGTGCCACCCGTCGTATGGGGGCCACAAGCCGCCGCCACTGCTGGGCTTGTATGCGCACTGCGGCCGACGTTTCGACGCGATTACGCGCGTGCTGTTCTTCCTGTTACCTTTTTTTCAAACGTCTCTGAACGCATCAATGTCACCAGATAAATAAGTTGAAACGGGATCCAGTGTCGACGACGAATGAGAGCTGTTTACTTTGGAACGCACACATAGTTTACTTGGAAGTGCGGGCCCACCTTATAAACAGCAGCGCATTAAAAGTGTTCTCACACCGCGCGATAACACATTGTGTCAATAATTGTCTCATAGCCCAATTATATGCATACTTACGATGCCTCAAAGCGGTACTTGCGAGCTATAGCTCGCAAGTGTTGAAAGACGATGCTTATGCTCCATGCTCTCGATGCGAGCAGCTACTGCTTGATCTGCTCGACAATGTGTTTGTATTTGCGCCCGGCTGAAGGGCGATTATGTTTATGCGGTAGGTGAGCTTTATATTCTGGTAGGGCTGCTAATAGGGGGAGGAAGGTGAACGGAATGAAACACGACTGGGTAGTACAGGAGCAATCACATTGGTTTATATCCGGCTCGCCTCTCGCGCGCTACTACCCAAGTATTCAAATGAACTGAATGGTTGAGCCAGAAGTTTTATTCCAGACTTTTCAATTGAGTTTACACCCAAATGGGCAGTTGTTTTGGACACGCGTTTGTGAGCACCGATTGCTTTTTTGACGCGGGGACTTTCGATGCCGAGGGCTTTCGCGACCGCTGTAAACATGCCCAACATTTGATTGACCACTTCTTTCCACGCAGTTTACACGGGACACCCGCCGCTTGACGTTTCCTTGTGTTTACTGTTTAGGGCATTATTATTTAGTGGCCGACAACCCATGATTTCTCCGGGAACGGAAGTACAGCAGCCTAATCTGGAAGTTCCTTTTGATGCCAGGGCTAGCCGCTTGGCCACCTCTGCCACTACCGAGGTACCTCATCGCACATTTGTTTTTATTTTTTGGGTGGGAGGGGAGAAGGGCGGTTATGATTTAAGGCATGCAATAAATCTTAAATTTGGTGCTAATGATACGCCGCCTAGTAGTCAGGTGTGTACTTATCAATGGGAGATTCACATATGGTGCATGTAATGGGGAGAAAGTAGGAAAACATTTATTTACACAAAATACACTGAGAACAACACTTTGGAGAAGAAAAGCACTAGAAACTATTTCAGCTGTTCTGAGCAATGTTACACAATCTGTGACTCTACTGAACAATGTGTATTAGGTTTCATTAACAGCTGCACTCTGCCTTAGCTCACTAAATAAACTGCCTAAAATAAACTGTATTTGAATATACACTATTTACACTATATGCAGATAAATATGAATAGTACGAAAATATTACAGTGTAATGTATACAAGATATACAACACTATATACAAATGGGAAGGCGTGCTCACATACACAGCCATTATGCTTAACACTGTGGCTTCCGCCCACCACTTGCAGGGCATGAACTGCGCACAGTTACCCGCGAGGCTTTGTTTTTTTCTCGAGTGAAGAAATGTAATCTACATCTCAAAAAAAAGTGCACAACCTCAGCTGTTGTCCCTAAAAAGTGCAACAGACAACCTACACTTGCTGACGCTGTGCGGCTGTCGAGCAAAATGCCCTCAACAATCCTCGCGTACACGTCACCGCATGCAATGTTTTGCACCGTGTACGTCTCTACATGTTCTTCAACAATTTTCAGGAGAGCAAGAAGACGGCTGCTAGTTACTTTCAAATAGCCCCCCCTCGATTTTGTTTGGATCAAGGCAGATGGCTGACGTGTTGTGCTCAACATCGTTTCGATGCAGCCTAAGCAGTCCAAAGTAGAAAACTTCTTGGCCACATATCCGCCGAGGTAATCCAAAATGGAGTCTTTGGTCGAAAGGGGGCCAATGTCCTCCACGCAGTCTGTTGTTGGCTCCAGCAGGACATCGTCAGCAGAACAGCTAGTGTGTCCACCTGAAATGTGCACAACTTCCTGAATTTTCAACGTGATTAAAAGGAAACTTCAGGACACATACAGGACACAAATTGCAAAATACCTGAGTCGTAGAGGGCTTTTCCTTGTCAAAAAGACCTTGCAGAGTGAGAAGCAGTTGTGGCCCGCTTCCGTCAACTGAAGCTCGCTTAGGTGGCCGCACAAGGTTGTTTACCGACAGCATCCGGTATATAAATAAAAACTGCTGAACAGTTGGTTGGCCCCCGTCTCGTGCAACATGCCTGGCTATCCCAAAGAAGCGCTGGACAGGGAAAAAGAAAGGTATCTGTACCAACACACCGTGCCAAAAAGTACCTGAATTACCTCTAAAGGGTCTTGGCCGAGGTTTCCAACTAGAACATAACGGAAGCCAGACTTCAAGAGTCGATCAATCAGGGCCACCGTGCTGTGCAGCGTTATCCTCAGTGCACCACAAGTTGGTTCGCTAAGGAAGCACGCCTGCCTCTGCTTCGGCAGGTTCTCTATGTATGTGCAGCAATGCTCCAGCCACTTTATGTTCGCCTTCAATGTCTGCAATGCAAGAAATATTAACCTTGAGTACACTATAAAAGAAAAACATATTTGGGTGTGATTTACTCGCTCACCACGATGTGCTTGGCTTCGTTGTATTGCACGTCCTGTGGTCTTCTTGAGTTGAGGCAGTCAAATAGATCGTTCATCTGCTTCGTGAAGTCGTATGTACCTGCGGAGTTGTGTAGCTTTTGGCAGCCTTCTTGCTTGCTATAAAACTCCATTGCAGATGCCGTGCTTCGCTGAAAAGCTGAAAATGATGGCACACTGTTGTTGAACGAAAGAGCTTGCATTGAAATTTGTCTTTTTTGACAAATCATCAGCAATGTTTTGTGTCATTAGTTCACCTGTAAGTAGCCTTACTAATTACTAGGAGTGGTTACTCGCCTGAACAGCAAGCCGGACACTCATCTTCTGGAAGGCGTTCGGGAAGATGTGAGCCCTTGTGAGCTTCGGGACAGCCCGAAGGCCAGCCTGTTGCTCCTCGTACTCCAGCGGGGCAGAGTAGTGGAAGGGATGGACCTCATGTCCTTCCGGTAGCTGCGATAAAAAGGTGAAGCCACTCCTCGCAAAGGGAGTAACCTGACGTAGATACGAATCACTGCTTACCAGAAACTTTCCAACCTTCTGAAGATTGTTTCTTATGCATTTGAAGACATGCGGTGGATCAATTAGTGCCTGCACTGTCCGTGAAGGGTCACATGGATGCTGGAATGAAGTTGCAGCTGTTTCTGGTCACTGTTTATCCCTGAAAAGAACACATCAATGCAGTTAGTAGTGTTCAATTCTTAATTTGACAAATTTAACTCGTGTCCCCAGATACTAACCCAAGCTCCTTAAAGCTGAACGATTTGGTGTTGAATTGTCGCATGTAACCACATCGACAGTATCGCCAGCGTTCGAAAGGTGCGCAATGCACTGGAGCAACAACTTTGCTACTATTGAACCAGGGGCTGCACGGGAGGAACAAAAGGTCCCAACAGTCTGCGACCACCCTCCAAGAAATGGTCGGAAGAGAAAGACCAGGACGTGATCGCCATCTTTCTCACAGTCCTAGGGTCTTGTGTGCTCAGCGAAGTTAACTTTTCCGAGCAGAGCCATGTCTGACTCCCTATTATGCACACTCTTTCTTGCGCTCATTTCATCGAACATCAGGACACCTGTGAAAAAATACATCTTATTAGACATGCACCACATATGAGATATGAAGTCATAAAATGCAGTAGTAAGTTTGTGCATTGTTCCAAACCTCGACGCTCTCGCTTGGGAAGTACTTGCAGCTTGTCTTTGAGAACGGTGGATAGACTGCTGTCAAAACCAGTCAGCCTTGAGGCTCCTCAGGTACGTGTAGAGGGTGCGAGGGTTGGGCAAGGGAAGGTACTCATTCTCGTGAAGGAATGTATAGACCGTTGTCGACTTAATCTTCAGTAGCAGGCAGTCATAAATCCATCCTTTTTTTGTACCTAAAGAGAGTGCAGGCTCGTTGTGCATTCAGGTAAACCGAGGCTGGTGAGTGAACAGTGCAAGTGCATAACCACAGCAAGCAGAAAAAAGAAGGTGCACGACATGCATCACACCATCTTTCCTCATACCGCAATACACAACCACCGCCTTTAAAAATGCCTTGTCATTTTCAATATTAACATGCACCCCTACTTCAGTACGAGAGCAACAGACAGCTTGCATTGTGCGATCATGCAAAGCGGGCAATTTAGGATTACTCTGACATGCAATGATAGCGTGCACTGCTCTTAAAAAATATGCACAAGACAGTGGCACGAAAAAGATGTGCGCTTATATTCATAGCTTCGTGGCAGTTATGTGCGACTGAAGATTACCTGGCAGCTTTCGGAGATTTCGCGTTTGCCTTCATGATGCACTGATCGTAAATAAGCTTCTCGCGGGTAGATAGCTTGTCCAGGTTTTGCAAGAGTCTTGCATTTTTGTTGGCCAGGACTCTCATCTTCACAAGCTGCTTCTGACACCGTTCGAGTCGTTGCCGCGTACTCGAAAGCTGCGCCTTTAGCGCCTGCACTTCAAGAAACGAACACACTGCCTGTTCCGTTTGGCAGGCCTGATCTGCGTGTCCGCTATCGCTGGCTGCTGCATCTGTAATACAATTCAATAACACTGTTCAGAAGCACCTCAATGCCACCAGCCGCTAACACAGGGTCATGCGACTGAGGGAACAAAGTAACGCCGCGACTAAACCGGCTCAAAAGCTTACCGTCACTGGCTTCTCCTGCCGAGTCGGTGTTGACATTTTGGCATTCCACTGCTGCGCATTCCGGTGACAATTCGCGCCGCCTCTTCGCTGGTTGCCTCTGAGTCGCAGGCCGTGAACGCGTTTTCGGCTTTGTCAGGTCTCTCGGTCTCTCTCGCTGAAGTGACACGACCACCCCGTTCACGATGTGCTCGTCGGTTCTCACAACGTCGCAAGCATCAAAATGCTTTTCGCACACCCGAACGTTCTTACTTTCGAAGCTGAAACCGCCAGCTTCCAACCATGGTATAGCTCGCTTCCATTTCTCTCGGAGTTCGACGCTACTTGGGAAACAGAAGAGCGACGCCTTTTCTTTGTTGCTTCGGTATCCGGAGCTGCAACCCGTCACACAGCACGTTTTAGGCATTGTTTATTCGAATTTTCATGCCGTCCACCTTGAGCACGGTGCACTGGCACATGAAGTTCGCGTTTCGCTGATGCAGAAACCGCGAGCTGCCACCACACAACGCCTTCGGGATGCTGCCGCGGCCAGTGCGTTCCGCCGGGCGCAGCGGGGCGATGGCCCCCCCTAGGACGGCTTGGGCCGCGTAGCGGCCGCTCTTGGCACCATATCAAGCTCTCCCATCAAGTGACGGAGAAGTTTCGTGACCAGAATGGTATTAAGGGACTGTGATATTACCTATGATATGGGCTCACAGCTGAAAATTTGAACTAGTGCCTACCCTGTCGACACGACGCGACATTGCACAATTGTGTAGTACTCAATGTAGCATTGCAGAGCGAGAAAGATTCAGAACTGCACGTATATGCTATTGCTTATTTAACATATTTAGCAAAACTCGATTGCCCGCAGGGGCGCCTGGGCGCAAGCGCAAGTAGGCGTTTGGTGTGTAGCGACACCACGGACCCGAGCTAACGAGGGAGTTCTACTCCCTCCCACGCCTAGCCGTGCGTGGCTTTGCCGTGTCCGGGGAAAAGGGGATCCTGGGGGTTGAGCCGACGCTGGGTGATTGGACCTTTAAGGCCCCCCGGCAGAGGCAACACACCCCTTTGGCCCCGGCTTCACGTAGACGGCACCCCTGGGCTGACCCACCCAGGGGAAATCGGCAGTCGCCTTTTCCTATCTCTCTCTTCCTACATCTTAGTCTTTTCTCGTCTGTAATTCTGTCCTGTCTTCTTCTCTCTTCCATTTACTTCCGATTTTTCCTGGCGGCAAGGGTTAACCTTGTGTAATTACTCAACCTTGAGTAGTTATATTTGGTTATAGTGGCAATGTACGGCTGGCGTCTGCAGCCTTATGCTATTAAGTGCTTCAGCGTCCCCTGGTTGGACTCCATGGTGGGTGGTCGCCATTGCTGCCGAAAAAAAGTACACTACTATGGGAACACCTGCATTTCCCCGTCTCCTAGATCGTCCTCCGCCTAAGAGGGGACGCACCGATGACATCTCAATTTTCAGCCAACCCAAACAATGCTTTCCCAAATTCCATGTTGTGCACAGCAAAAACCCAACAAAACATGCCAGAGCCATATCACCATTTCTTGTTGCTAAATCTCTGACCGAGCTCTTTGGCCCAGGATACAAGGTTACAAAGATGGCTAGCGGAGACCTTCTCCTTGAGCTGCCTGAAAAACACCACTATGAAAAACTTGGCAGTCTCGTAGCATTTGGTAATATCGCAGTATCTGTTTCACCTCATAGATCGATGAACACCTCACGCGGAGTTGTTTCAGAAGCAGACCTTCTTGAAATATCTGAACAGGAACTGCTTGAAGGGTGGAAAGAGCAAAATGTCACGGATGTGAAACGAATCGTCATCAGACGCGACAACAAAGAAATACCTACTAAACATTTAATACTCACTTTTGCATCTAGCACACTGCCTTCATCTATAGACACAGGCTACATCAAACTCTCTGTCCGTCCCTACATTCCCAATCCGAGACGGTGTTATAAATGTCAACGATTTGGTCATGGTTCGCAGAACTGCCGGGGTCAGGAAACTTGTGCAAGATGTGGTGGCCGCGGCCACCCATCTGATAACTGTGTTACCACGCCTCACTGCGTGAATTGTGACGGGGAACACGCCGCGTATTCGCGTTCGTGTCCTAACTGGAAGAAAGAAAAAGAAATCATCACTCTGAAAGTCAAAGAAAACATCACATTCAAAGAAGCAAGACGAAGAGTGTCGCCATTTTACGGCGCAACATATGCTGATGCGGCGCGTCAGGGGGCAACGCCGCACCAGCCCTCGCCACCGCTTCGGCCTGCGCAGAGCGAGCCGTCGGCTGTGGCACCTGCCCCTAAGGCGGCTGTAGCCCAGGCTACACCGCCTACTCCCAAACAGAGACCGGAGACTCCAGAGTCTTCGGGTCTCAAGGCCTCCCCTCACCAGGCGAGGCCCGAAATTCGTTCTAACAGCCCGCATGTGCGGGCATCCAGTGCCTCCGAGGAGGCAATGGATACATCGGCACCCTTGGTGCCGAAAGAGCGGCGTGGCTCCTTGGAGCGCGCCAAGAAAACAAAAAAGCAAATAACAGGGCCTGGTGATGGCCCTGTTAAGTGAACTCAAACTCCCCGTCTAAGCAGCCACTCGCTTTTCGTACACACAGCACTACTTCACATTCACCATGAACACTCAAATTATACAATGGAATGTCAGGGGCCTTCTCAGAAACCTTGACGACATCCAAGAACTCTTACATGAACACTCGCCAAAAGTGCTGTGTGTACAAGAAACACACCTTAATTTAAAACACACAAATTTTCTTCGTAAATATGTTATTTTCCGAAAAGACCGTGTTGATGCTATGACATCATCCGGAGGTGTTGCCATCATAGTAAATCAAGGAATAGCATGCACACACTTACAACTCCAAACACCCCTTGAGGCAGTGGCTGTTCGAGCGGTTCTTTTTGATAAACTGATCACAATCTGCAGTATTTACATTCCTCCTAGCTATCAGCTCCAAAAACGCGATTTACACTCTCTAATTGATGAACTTCCGGAGCCTTATGTTCTCCTTGGAGACTTTAATGCGCATAGCAGGTTATGGGGTGACTCTCGGTATGACGCGCGAGGTCGACTGATCGAACAGTTCCTTATCTCGTCGAGCGCGTGTCTCCTAAATCGAAAAGAACCAACCTATTATAACCTCGCTAATAACACCTACTCCTCCATAGACCTGAGCATAGTATCTCCATCTCTTGTGCCTCTACTCCAGTGGAAAGTCGTCAGTAATCTGTACGGAAGTGACCACTTCCCCGTAGTTTTGAGCACAACGACAGTAACTGAGTGTCCACCACGTGTTCCCAAGTGGCTCATAAACAGAGCCGACTGGGAACAGTTTCATACTATCGCTTGTCTAGGTTGGAATGACATCTGTACTTTGAACATTGATGTTGCTGTGAACTACTTCACAACGTTTTTGATTGATGCTGCAACAAAATGCATCCCACAAACAAATGGACACCTTGGAAAACGATGTGTGCCATGGTGGAATTCTGAATGCCGAAACGCGCGCAAACAGCAAAACAGAGCTTGGAGGCTGCTTCGGAACTCACCGACAGCCGAAAATCTTGAAACCTTCAAGAAAATAAAGTCTCAAGGCAGGAGAACGCGTCGGCAGGCCAGAAGAGAAAGCTGGCAGAAGTTTTTATCAGAGGTTAGTTCATACACACAGGAGGCTAAAGTCTGGAACATGGTCGGTAGGATAGCAGGAAAACAAGTATACACACTTCCACTCGTAAACACTCAGGGTGATACCTTGGAAGATCAGGCAAACTTCCTCGGTGCACACTTTGAACAGGTATCCAGCTCGTCCCACTATACTGACACTTTCCAAAAATACAGAACAAGAATAGAAAAGCAGAAACTCGAACACAAATCCACTAGATACGAGGCATATAACCAAGCTTTCATTCTAGCTGAGCTCCAAACATCTCTAAACTCCTGCAGTACTTCTGCCCCAGGTTCTGACCGTGTGATGTATGAAATGTTAAAAAACCTACCAAATGAAACCCGAAAAACCTTACTATGTTTGTACAATGCTATTTGGTCTTCTGGCACTATTCCTACCTCCTGGAAAGAGGCTATTGTTATTCCCATTTTGAAAGAGGGCAAGGACCCTTCTTTACCCTCGAGTTATAGGCCTATAGCACTTACAAGGTGCTTGTGCAAAGTCTTCGAAAAAATGATAAACTGCCGACTTGTACATTTTCTTGAAACAAATAATTTGCTCGACCCATTTCAGTGCGGGTTTCGAGAAAGTAGATCCACCACAGACCACCTTATTCGTATCGAGGCACAGATCAGAGACGCATTCGTCCATAAACAATATTTCCTCTCTGTGTTCCTCGATATCGAAAAGGCTTATGATACTACATGGCGTTACGGAATTCTAAGAGACCTGTCCCACCTTGGTGTGCGCGGAAGAATGTTTCATATAATCGAAAGTTACCTGTCAAACCGGACATTCCGTGTCCGTCTGGGCAGTGTGCTCTCCCAAACATTTGTCCAGGAAACAGGCGTGCCACAAGGTGGTGTGCTTAGTTGCACACTTTTTATTATTAAAATGAATTCTTTGCACTTGTCCATTCCCCGCAATATGTTCTATTGTACATATGTCGACGACGTTCAGCTTGGCTTCAAGTCATGCAACTTGGCCATGTGTGAGCGACAGGTTCAGTTAGCTTTAAACAAGGTCTCCAAATGGGCAGAGGAAAACGGATTCCGACTGAACCCACTAAAGAGCACGTGTGTCTTGTTCTCCCGAAAGAGAGGCATGCACTCAGAACCTGACATTGAACTGAACGGTCAACGTCTGTCTGTCAATGTGGAGCATAAATTCTTAGGATTAATCTTGGACAACAAGTTGACCTTCGTACCGCACATCAAGTATCTGAAAACAAAATGTTTGAAAGCCATGAATGTTTTAAAAGTGTTGTCACGTACTACGTGGGGTAGTGACAGGCAATGTCTCATGAATCTGTATCGAAGCCTCATTCGCACCCGCTTAGATTATGGGGCCATTGTTTATCAGTCTGCAACACAAAGTGCTTTGAAGATGCTGGACCCCGTGCACCATTTGGGCTTCCGCCTTTCTACGGGTGCTTTTCGCACCAGCCCCGTAGAAAGCCTTTATGTTGAGTCGAATGAGTGGTCGCTTCATCTGCAGAGAACTTACATGTCCTTTGTTTATTTCTTTAAGGTGAAAGCAGATAAGAAGCACCCCTCATACTCCACTATTATTGATTTGTCGAGCTCCATTCTGTTTCAAAACAGGCCTTCGATGAGGCAGCCCTTCTCAGTTCGCCTGAAAAGTCTAGCTGAGGAAACTGGAGTCTCACTTGAACATAGTTTAATGGCTCCTGTAGCATATCTGCCACCGTGGCAGTGGCAGACTATAGACTGTGATGTGTCCTTTCTTGAAGTTACAAAACATGCGCCTATTGCCCATATCCGAACATACTTCCTGGAACTTCAACATAAATACACACGTCCTGAGTTCTTTACAGATGCCTCCAAGTCTAACTCTTCTGTGTCCTACGCTGCTGTCGGCCCATCCTTTTCGGATGCTGGCCCTCTACATCCAGACACAAGTATCTTCACAGCGGAAGCCTACGCGATACTTGTGGCGGCTAAACACATCAAGCAATTACAAATACAAAAAGCAGTAATTTATACAGACTCCCTCAGTGTAGTAACGGCTCTGCACACTCTTAAAAAACACAAAAACCCAGTCCTTGTCTCACTTTACTCCATTTTATGCACACTATACACACTCAAACAACATGTTGTAGTGTGCTGGGTGCCAGGGCACCGTGAGATTCAAGGCAACGTGAGGGCGGATCAGCTCGCTGCATCCGTCCATAAAAGCACTGCCTCTACACCCATATCAATCCCGGCCGTTGATCTTAAGCCGTCTCTCAAACGAAACCTCAGAGTATACTGGCAGAGCAAGTGGGATACACACACACAAAACAAACTACACGTTATTAAGCCACACCTTGGTCATTGGCTGCCTGTATCGAAATCGCGTCATACACAGGTAATACTAACGAGACTCAGGATAGGACACACATACACGACACACACACACCTTTTGTCCGGTGGCGATCCACCATTGTGTAACAGATGTGGTGAAGTATTGACAGTCCTTCACATTTTAATTGAGTGCAAACAATTGGACACTGTAAGAAAACAACACTTTCCATTACCCTACCGACAACATATACCTTTGCACCCTGCAATGTTCGTCGGTAGGGAACCGCTTTTTAGTCACAAATCATTGTTAGCGTTTTTTAAAGAAATTCATAGTTTTCACATCATATACCCGGGCATCCCGTAGCATGACCTCTCCAGAGAGGTTTTTGCTGCGGTGGTTACACAAGAAAGCACTTGCCTCACGGCCCTTGGACGCAAGGGTATGAACGTGTGAGGCACTTGTGCTAATGCCATACATATCCACCATCGTCTTTTATTATCACCAACTTTTGTCATCTGTTCACATCACACACACCTTTCACGGCATGGTCATGATTTTATTACTTGTATGTTTTTACCCGCCTTACTGCGAGGAATTTTATGGCCCTTATACAGCCACTTATCGCAATCATTGTCCATATTTTTAGTAAGATGAACTGGCGCTCTTTGGCCGTGAATCGGCCCTTGCGCCATAAAACATCAAACATCAATCAATCAAAGCAAAACTCGATTGCTCTCACTTTTCGAGCTATCTATTGGCAATGTGCAAGTTTCTTGCCCGATTTCACATCATGCATTCACTTCACTTCAAGATCAACACTACAGGACAAGCGCTGCATCTGACGGCAGAATCGGACCCTTGTCTTGAAGCTGCGCTAATAAACTCGAACACTGCAACACAATGAGAGCGATGTTCATTCAGTGATCTCGATGTTCAGTTATATGCATATGCTTGTTAGCTTCCAAGAGTCTTTACACATGGGTGGTCCCTTCCCTTGTCCTATGATTCTAACGCGCTACGTCGATTAATTATGTCTTACCAACATGCCCAACTTTATACTCTAGTGTTATAACATTCTGTATTTTCTTTCGCATCCTCAGTTTTGAGCTTATACTTACCGATGTAGGATTTCGCTAGGTTATTGCAATGCTGATAATTCTGAAGCATTAAAAAATATATATTTGCCACAATACTAGCTTTTATTTATATTCACTCGGGCAGCTGTTTGTCTTTTCGGGGGAAGAGTCTGGAGATGAATTCAGTGCTAGTGCTGTATTTTATGGCATTTTAGTTTTCAGGGCTATTGTAGCTGTAAAGCAGGCAATTCACAACGCTGCAAGCACATTGTTGCGATGGGAATGCAGTGACTACTCAAACAGGCAAGCTTGAAGGCCTATGCAATAATAATTATAATAATTGGTTATAAATATATTTGTTGATTGCTGCATGCAGTCAAAGTGTGCCGATATGCATAATCAGGCAAAATGTAAATCAGTTTGTATAGACCCAAATCATGGGTGCTGCATTTTTTCGCGTACTAAACCTGGGGCTTCGTGTACACCATGCTTCATGAATGTATAGTGGTTTTGCATGTGAAGCTCTTCTGTTTTGTAAGTTTCGTGCAATAATAACAGCACACAATTTCCTAAATAACCTTTATTGGGCATGTGCTACCATATCAACTGATTATTACACAGTAATGCCGCCATCATATGAACACATTTTCAAATGATACAAACCTTGAGAACGCCTCACAGATGCATGAGCACTATGTTTTACTGCGGTTTGCATTTGTGACAGGTTCTTGTCGTGAGGCTGCAGAGGCAAACATTCGGAAGGCACAACTGGTGATTTCAGTCGCTTCCTTGCAGGCTTTCTTATCTGTGGGTCCGCTTACAAAAACACAAATTACAGCTTCACCGTCGAATCTTCTAGCTTTACAAGATTAGAATATTTTTCACTACACAAGACGCCAAGTGGGTCCTTGACAAACTGTTACGTCTTTCTAAAGCATGTGGCATGGCCTAAGCTGCTCGTTCCCGCTACCCTGACCACAACTGTGCAAGTCGAGTTCGTTCAATTGATGACATACGAGTGCATGGCTCTGACAAGGGGACATGTAACGACGACCATAAAATGGGGCTCAATTCAAGCAAAACCTTGAGAAATATTATATAAAGACCACAGCAATTAATGTTAGTGCTACTGCAATACGCAGTCGCAAGCTTTGCTTTATTTTTTTATGAAGGCCTCGATTGTCCTAAAAAAATAATGCCCGCATGCACACAAATGAGTTATTCTCATTTTCTTAGCCTACGTTACTTCAGAAGTAGTTGGTGCTGACAAAGTGTACCCTGCACTCTTTCATCTGCGATGTGATCGACTTGCCGAATCTAAACTTCATGATCCATTCTTTTTGCCTCGCTGCATCTCTTGGGAAGGCATGGAGGCTGACTCTTGTTGATGCTCCATTTGTATACTGTGGCATGCAGCACATACGATTACTCTTGAAACCGTTTAAGTTTGGCCATTTCATGCCAACTACAGCAATTGGGAGGGAGGGGGGGCGCAGCGCTAACGACTCAAAGAAGAAAAAAATTGGCAGCATATCCACGGAGTGAATGATGGAGAGTGGGGCGAAGCATCCATCCGCTCATTCGTTCTTGCTTCCGTCCGTCCATGCGTCCGTCTGTGTGACCGTCCATGCGTCCAGTCCGTCCGTGCGTGCGTCTGTTCGTGCGTCTGTTCGTGCGTCCGCTCTGGGTTCTTCCATGCACCCACCCCTGCGTCCGCTCATGCGTCCATCCATGCATCTGTCTGTTTATCCGTTCGTCCATCTATTGAACGCTCCAAGTACCACCATCTCAGATCTTTTCATCATATATTCCCCATATAGAAGCACCGCCATCCAGCGGAGATTTTAAGGACTAAACGAGAGGTGGCACACGTACACTTTCTTACGGCTTGCGCTTCGGGTCTATTTCCCACATTTAACCACCTCGAGTTCATGGTATATGTGTTTAGAAAAAGTTTATTCTACTTTCGGCATCCTTATCCACACGAGCACACACCGAAGGCAACGAGCATCGTCAACTGCAAACCTGTATCGCGATATGGTTTTGATTATAAAACCATTGCTTTAGAAAACACCTGGCGTCTTTCGTTAAGCAGCTGGGGTCTTTTCGTTTTGCTTTAGAAACATCTGGCGTCTTTTCGTTTTGCTTTTAGAAAACATCTGGCGTCTTTTGTTGGTTTTTTCATCAATCAACGCCATTTTGAAGTTTTGAACATTAATCACGGAGTTAAACAATGGCTGCTACTGGGAATGGGAGACAGCAGAAGTCGGCTTTTAGCTAACACTTACACTTCTACTTCTACTAACGTTTCCTACTGGAACATGCCAATGGCTGCTAATGGGGAATGAGAGACAGAAGAATTCGGCTTTTAGTTAACGTAAACGCTGCGATTTTTTTATTGTTCAGCAACGCACAGGAGAAATCTCCCACCGGCACCCCCTTGGAGGTCAAAGCGTAAGACATGTTACATACTACGTGGGACGAACGGGTGCCGCTTTAAGGAGCTTCGCCTCTAAAAAAGCAAACGCACCCTTGAAGCACCGCTGCTTCGTCACTACTCCAACACTCTTTGAAAAAATTACGCTGGTAGCCGTGGGGTGGCGTGACAGTCTACGGAACTTATGAATAGGTTAAGATAAATGAAAGAAACAGAGTGCGTGGACTGCACTTCTAAGTGATGTATGTGTTCCTTCATTTCGTCACAACTCCTCGTACAGTTTCGTCATCCTTCAGTATTGTCCAATGAACCTCACATATATTAATGCTGTCCATGTGTGTTCGTCTCCTGATATAGGTAATTATTACGATGACAATCTCTCCACATGCTCCGAAAGAAAGAGAATGCCCAGGTGATATTGAACACTCTGGAGAGGTTTAGAATAAATATTATTTCTGTTCTTTGCAGCTAAATCTAAAAAGCGTCAAGTCTCATGTATGACCACATGACAAAGCCGGAAAGAAGGGAGTGGGTAAGGGGGGAGGTGCCCCCCTTATTTTTTTATTAACCGAGCCCTTCGCACTGTTAATCCAGCCCTGGTAAGTAGGACAAAGAAGTGTGTTTGCACTGTTATTTTAGTTTCAGGAATAAGCACCAGCCAGACCCTAATGATGTTTCATTTTAGCGACCAGAATGAATGCCAGCAAGGTATGCGAGCCATGCCTTCATGGGCCACTGCCAATTTCTTGGGTCCCCATCCTGAAGCCATAGAACGGATGCGTGCCTCGGACTTGTACTTCGACGTACAGGATTGGGTTTGCATTCAAGTTATAGATTGCGCGAAGGTCACTTTGCTCGCTGCAGAACAGTAGACTCAATAGTTTTATGCGCTGTTATGTTCAACACGGTGCTTCGGGAGGCAGTGGTTTGTTGTTCTTCTAAGTGCTTCCTCAGGAATCCTTCTGTGTCCTTTTGTTATTTTATGATTTGTGCGTGTAACAGATGACACCTCACTGCAGCATTTGTGCTCCGTCTGTCACGCAAATACTGCATTCATTCTCCCTGTTCTACTTTCGCTCTATGTCATTGTTTCACATGACTGTCTACCTGGCCGGCATTGACCGTACCACACGTCACAAATTTAGATTTTTCAAAGGGCTGAAAAATACCTTTCTTGATTTTATCGACATCCCAATTTAAATGAGTAATTTGAGTGTGGTGATGACTTTGTTAAATGGAGCTTCAATTGTATACGTGTGAGCGCGAAAAACTTAGCGCTTAATTTTCTGGTAAAAAATTCCTGTTTTGGATGCCATGTTTAGCTTTCAAAAAACACATGACGGGCCTTCGAAATTCCTTAAATATCCTTGAAATTTTTCTTTTGAGATCAGTACGGACCTAAAGGTTCTCCACAATGCTTCAACGTATGGCTTGGGAGCCATATATTTCACACTTAACTGACGGCACTGCATGCATGCCCAGTAGCTTTTCCCTCCCGCACAATAACAGGAACGGGAAAGAAGTATCCTCAGTGTGATGCGCTTCCAATTTTAATTCTATGATTTCATTGTTACTCATTTAATGAACTTTTCAACTCTATGCCAGTGTTTCTCAGCCATGAAAAAGGGGTTATTGTAATTTTTAACAGCAGAATTATGTGGCTCCACAACAGGTAGCTTTACTTAAGATAAACAAGGGCTTCAGATGGACAGTAAGCATGAAGTAAAGAGGTGGTAAAGGTCGAGTAGTGGCATGATCATGAGACCTGTTTCATTTTTCCATTTCGAAGGATTTGTATCATAATGTGTGGCTTTAGTAAGGCATGGGCAATACTGCAGTAGCAGATATCCTCCGAAGCGCTAGTTGTGAACTTGGCACTACAGGCTTTTGAGTCCTGCGTTGTTGCCTCTTCTACAGGGCAGTGGACTGACGAGGCCCAGGAGAGGGAGAGGGGGCCGAGGGCGTGGCCTCTCCAGGGGGCGTGGCCTCGGTGCGATGGCCTCTCCGTACCACCTTCACCATCAGCAGCAGGCCCCACCCCAGCCTCCACTTCAGCCCCAGCAGCACATGGGCATGGGAGTGGCGCCCGTGCTAGGGGGTCCCGGACTTGGGGCAGGGCCGGGTGGCCTCGGTCCACCGCTTCTGTCACCGGTCCAGCCCATGGGTGGTCCTTCGGGATTCATGCCTACGGGCCCACCGGGCCCAAATGACGGCAATGGGGACCCAGTAGTCCCCATGCAGCCTAAGGACTTCAACACGGCCATCATGTGCCGCATGGGCCAGGAGATTGTACAAGACATTGTCGCCAAAGCTATTGAGCTGTTCCAGACCCTCAAGGCGCTGCAGGTAGGTTCCATGAGAAAGGAAGGCAAAAAGCAGATACTGTTCTCATCAATATTGAAGAAACCGCTGTTATATATGCGTAACAGATTTGCGTAACAGATATGCATAACATAACAAGAGCATTGCACACGTAAGTGTGATAATAACCATAGCAATAGTAATTTCATTTTTATTTCTTGAAATGCAAGAAAAAGAATACAGAAGCAAAAGGCGTTTCATATGCCTGACAAAGGCCTCTGCACCTGTAGTTCGTCACAGGCACACATTGTTGTTTTTTTTTGCAGGTACAACAAGCAACAAAAATAACATGTCATGTACCACATGAGTGTTAACAAAAGAAATACAGTAATAAAAAGCAAGCAACACAAGATAAACTTGGCATAATACTGATACGCAAGTCTTTCACATAAAAAAAGAGTAAACAAATATACAAGAACAAAACTGAATGCATCGTAGATCACAATGAAAATACATAATTTCCAAACACTAGTGAACATGTCATGGCCAAATTCTACCTACTCCATTTACAAAATATAGAATGATGATGATAAGTTGTTTCTTTCTCAATCAAAATTTCTTTAACTTTTTTTTTTAATGTTCCTAGAGTGATGTCAAACTGCAAGCCATCTTGTAATTCATTTACCATTGACGTTGATTGGTAATGCAGTATTTGTTTTCCATAATTTGTCTTGTTTTGCGGTAAACACTGTTTTTTCTAGCAGGGTAACGTTGGTCATTTTCTTTTTGTTTATACCACTTTTTTTTGTGTACTTCTTGAAGCAGTTTAAAATAATATATTTGGTTTGCCTCAAACATTTCATGTTTATGAAAGAGCACTGAAGTGCGCAAATGGTCTACTCTACCTTGGTAATTTTCATGACAGCGAAGTATTTTCTTTTGTAGCGTTATAAGATTGTTATAATTTTTCACTGTTATCGTACCCTGTACTAGTACACTGTAACAAAGTCTCGAATAGAATAGGGCATTGTATAAATTTTTCTTCAACTACTTAGGAATAAGGGAACCAATTCTGGAGATGCATCCTACCATTCCCAGAAGTTGAGAAACGTTGACATTCCACGTTAAATCTTCATTGAACCAAACTAAAAGAAATTTTTAGTTTTTCTTGTTTTATGGTATTCCTGTCAAAGCTTATTTTAATGTTATATTTAACATGTTTACTTATTGGGCGAAATATAACATATGTCATCTTGGCATTTAACTGTAGCTTGTTTTGTTTAAGCCATTTTGAGAGTGACGGCATGTACTCATTTACATTTTTTTCTAGTGTTTCCAAGGGATCAAAAATTTGTCATCTGTATACATAAGTTGTGGCTTGCGGACGACACAAAGTATGTCACATTTGAAATAATTTGATCTTTAATAATCGTTAGGGCTTGATCGGTAGACTTATTTTTCTGAAAACCATACTGACATGTTGTGATGATGCTTTACTTATTGAAGAAGGCTAACAGCCTGTCGTGAATAACGCCTTGAAGAACCTTTGATAATGTTGCAAGTACTGTAACTGGTCTGTAATTTGAAATAATATTAATGCCACCTACTTCATAAATTGGCGTTACCCTTACAACTTTTCACTGTGCCAAAAACATGCCTGTCGTCAATACAAGATCTATTATGTAAGCAAGTACCTCAGATATTAGTGGACATATGAACTTTATTTCCAGCTGCGGTAATTTCATCTATAACTGGCGCCACATTGCTTTCAAGTTTATTTATTAGGCTAGCGATCTCAGCACTGCCAGTAGGAAGCATAAAGATCTCATTCCGCATAGCTGTAGTTTCTTCAAAAGACAAGCCAACTTTGCTTTCAGAAAAGCTACTGTACCGGCCCTCATTGCGAAAATGATGATTTATGGCATTGGCTAGGTTCTCGCCACACAGCACCACGTTTCCCTCTTGCATTTCTGTGATATCATGCCTTGTTTTCTTTCTTCCAGTAAGAGCATCCACTGTTTTCCAAAGCCGTCTTGGGTTATCGCATATGTTCTGAAATTTGTGTTGATAATATTCTCCTTTAGCCTTTTTAAAGTTTGATACAAGTTCGTTTTGGTATTTTTGGGCTCTACAAATGCTTTGGGCTCTCGTAGGCTAAAAATTTTTTTAAAAAGGCTATTTTTTATTTGAATACATTCATGAAGCAAGCAGTTTATCCAAGGTTTCTGTCAATTTTTTTGCTCTCGAAAACATACTTCTTCTCTAGGAAATGACGCGTTGAAACAGTGACGTAATGCATTCAAAAACTCATTATAGGCCCCATGAGCACTTTTGATCTTACATATATATCACTCCAATCTACTGCTTTGACGAGCTGAAAGAAAAAATTTTTACTTTCTTTATTTATGTTGCGTCAAGATTTTCTTTTGTTGCTTCTTTTGTTTCAATAACAAGGGTATGAAGCAAAACACTGGGAAGTGATCGCTAAGACCACTTTACACAGTACCGCTTATGGTCTCCGATGGGTTTGAATTTGTAATGCATATATCAAGTAACGTTGTACTATCCCTGGTCCCTCTGGTAGGGGAACATATAGAATTTGCACCATGAAATGCCGGAAGCAGCATCTCAAAATGTGCGGCGACCGTATTGTTTGCTGCAAGATTAATAATAATCTCCACATGATAACATAAGAAGTGTTGTGAAGTAATGGGGAGGATATGAGTGAGTCTATAAAATTTTAAAAACGTGTTTTGTGCCCTTGAGACGGCCTATAAACGACAATCGCTGCAATGTCTTGCTATAAAGCAAGACATTCAAAATGTGCTGTGATTAGCGACAGTTCTAGTTTTTCATGGGTACCTTTTTCTTTAAAAAAAATTGTGGCTTCATCTCCTTTTCTGTCTTAGCAGCACTGATGTTCAGATTGATATCCAGGAATGCTTGGGACATTACTATCGTCGGCTAACCAGGTTTCGGAGAACACAAGCATATCAAATTTTACTGTAGCGGTACGATCAAACCTTGTTATAATGAAATGGGATATAAGGAAACAAATGAAAGATAGTATTGCAATAGATATAGTGTTAAAAATGAGCCTTTATAACGAATTTTCGGATATAACAAACTTATTTTCATGTAAGATGCAAGTTTGTTATAATGAGGTTTCAGTGTATTTAGAAAAATGCTTATGTCATCGATTTTACTTCTGATACTTCTCGCATTCACGTGGAAGCAGAAAGGAAGTTTCTATGTTGTGGACAACACGATTTTAAATCGAGGACGTTGTAGTACATATGAGTTTCACTGAAAACAGTCATTGTGAACACCAAAAAACAAAACTGGTATGTGCAAGATGAATTCAACAAACTCAGCATATTTTTTTTATGCCATCTTGACAGCTCACATTAATCACAACAGAAGATTCATCCTTACGGGCAAGCACTCTACCACGAGAAGTCCAGACAAACTTCCAATGTTTTTCCTTTTTTTTTTTTTTTGAGGGCAGCTGAAAGCAGCCCCTGGGCTAAGACCAACCATAGAATTGTCCAACCTCCTCTTTCTGCATTGTGCTAGAAACTCATTCCTGTTTCCACACCTGACGAACCGAGCATATATGTTCTGAATTTTAGGTTTTGGCATGCGGACCCAGTGACAAATGTCAATATCACATGGGTCAACTTTCTTGCCCAAGCTTTCCCCAATCTTTCGAAGAATATTGAAAGAAAGAATCACTACCATGTCATTCGCCTTTCATCTCCAGATTATTTGAACGCCGATACTGCTCTAACTCGTCACACTTCTTCAACAGACGCTCATTCTCTGCCTTTAGTTTTCTGTTTTCAGTAAATAGTTTCATAATTTTCTGCCTTAATGTCCTAATATTCTCTGTGAGATCTTTAACATCATTCCAGAGACATCAAAACAAAATGACACTCCCTTTTTCAGTTCCATGATTTCGACCCAAAAATCACGTTTGAAGTTCTCAAAATGCCTTGAGCAAGTCCACGACCTGCTCTATAAACTTACGACCTGCTCATGCCACCGATCCCCATGTCGCAAGGTTTGCTTTTGCTTGTTCAATTTTTTTACTTCTCAAAAGTGCCGCAGCACGCTATGGCGCCACAACTAACCCTCATCGCTGCAGCCGCCAAAGCGCTTTCCTGGGCGGTGTGTGCGTGCGTTGACTCGTTTTTGTGCCATTTAAAGGTTAGCGTTCATCAGGATATTTGTTCAATACTCGAGAGCGTTAGGGTACGACAGGTACAGCACCATTCACATAATGGTGTACTGCTGCGTTCAATTCTGCAAGTCGAGCAGCCGGCGGTCAACTGGGATATCGTCACTTAGATTCGACAGTGCCAATGCTAAAAGCTTGTGAAATAGAACAGAGACAGTTCAAAGTGATTTAGCCAGTTGGAACGCATGGTATAGACTGACACTCGCGTTTCCAAAAAACATTATTGCCTTTACAGAAATGGAGCGTGACAAAAGCTGTTGTCATTTACCGTATTTACTCGATTCTACCACGCTCTCGATTGTAACGCGCACCCGATTTTCACGACGAAAAAAAAAAAAAAAGGTAACACATCGATTGCAACGCGCACCCATTTTTCTCGCCGGCCCGCACGATCACACCACTCGAAAAAATGACTCCTTTCGGGAACGTCTTCCATTTAAATATGAGGTACGGGGGGAAGCTTGTGCCCATCTGACGTGTAACAGAGCATTGCCGTCACTGTAGTTTTACCGTGGACCAATGTCAGCACGCGAACTTGCTTCGCCCCCTTCTTCTCGACGGTTGTGGTGCTAGGCATGTCGAAGTAAAGAGGCGTCTGATTGGCATTCCCGATTAGCCCAAGCAGGTAGCCGTTGTTGTGCCGCAAGTTTAGGACGAACCTGTGAAAACTGTGAAGCTTTCATCAAAACTTTTCGCATATGCCCGTTCACCTTCGGAGGAAAAAGCCTTTCCTCTTCATAAACCTCGTTAGCCAGCACCTGCTCGCTTTACACTGGCTCCGCATTAGACCTTATTCTAGGGCTGA